GTCTTGGACCAATGAAAGACTTGGATAAAAAGTACAGAGCCAACAAATATTCCATGGTTGAAGAACACACCAACACCCTGACTCCACAACTCTCTAAATTGGTGAGCAGTCCAATTCTCCACTAGTTAGTAAAGTTAGAGACCTCAGCAATGTGGTTTAATAATCCATGTTTCTGTTACAAAGTTACACTGTTAAGGTAATCAAGTGTTTAATTAATGTTTAATTTGTAGCCCTCCCCACCATCGTTCCTAAAAAAATTCTTATAAATGGAATATTCTTAGACATCACTCTCTGGTTATCTGGTGTTTCAGAACCCAAAGATTTTAATAGAAACTTAATTGATCATTAAAGCTTAATTGAAAAAGCCATGACTGCTGATGTGCTGCAGTCGGTCTGTGTTAATAATAGTCAATATACTTACCGTATGAGAAATGTCTTGCCCTGTATACTCAAACAATACTGGATTAAAATATAATTGATAAACATGCACTGTAGCTGAATTAATTTATAACAGATGATTGTTGTGTATTGGTATTTCCAATTTACCTTCCAAGCTCAACAATCTAAAGTGCCATATGTTCAATGATGAGCCATTGGGGAAAGGGAGGAAGCGGTAAGTGTAGTCTCTGTTAGGTTAAAATAGTTCTAGATTACGTGCTTGGCAACAGAATTTTGGAATCGAGCCAACCCACTGGGAATTCTCAGCAGTCTATTTTCTGATCCGCATTCCTCTAAGATGCTGACCAGTCAGGCTGGCTTTGTCAACAGGACTTGGAGGGCAGACTCGGGGCACAGATTATTCCCATTCAGCTCCTGCCAACTCTGAAAGATAAAACACTAATGGGTAGGGTAGTGCGAGCTACGTAGTTATAACTGATTAAACTCCAGCAGTATCCTAACACACACTTGATTGTCGCCACCCACCCTGTACCTAATACTCTCTGGAATTAGGTAAGCAGAGTATGTCCCTCCCGGGAAAGAGTACACATTCCATTCCAGACGGGTAGATGGCACATGCATGTGTGAAACTGCGAGCCTGGTTTAGATACTCTAAAGGTGATGGGTTTCTGCATGTGTCAGACACGTGGTTGGCCATGAAAAATACTGCTATGTCATACTACTGAAGCAGTATGTTATTTCACTCTCAAATTTATTACAATATGGTATATATTGCATTGTAAAAAGGTCCAGTTTCTTGGACACATATATTTCAGAGTTCGATGCACCTTTTTAGCATAGGACTAAGCTGAACATTTACCAGATCAAAAATCTCACAACAGGGGCCATTCAACTCAATGTGCTGAACATAGTCATTTGTTGATACACGCTGACTATTTTACTTTGTTCATTGAGTATATGGATTATTTTGCAGGGTGCTGAAGATTAAATGTAGATACATTTTAAACTCAGAAGTTGACAGCATCAACTTGTATGGCTGCACACTTCACCATACAGAATCAGTGCTGGTGCAGATCCTCAATGTCTTGTTTGACTCCCACCTGTCCTTCTAACACCACATCCATCTGCTTACCAGTTCAGTTTTCCCTCACCTCTGTAACACTGCCCTCTTCCACCAATAGGCCACCGAGACCCTCAACCATGCTTTCATCATGCTGATGCCCTGCTTGCTAGAATCCTCAGTTCTTCCCTATACATGCAAATTATCCATGGCTCTGCAGCCCGTATCCTGTCTCACGCCAGGTTCTGCAAGCCTATTACCTCCATCCTTGCTTGGATCCATTGGCTCCCCATCCCGCTGCATATCAAATTGAAGATCCTCGTTTTCACCCTCAAATCCCTCCATAGCATCACTCCACCATACCTTTGCATCCTCTTTGAACCCTATCGACCCAGTCACTTCTTTTGCTCAGCAAGCACCTGCAAGCATCATATCCCCACTCTATCCACACTACCATCAGTGAATGGGCTTTCAGCTTATCTGCCCCCACACACTGAAATTTCATCCTGGATTCCCTCCAACTTGCTCCCTCCCTCATCTTGTTCAAGGTCCATCTCAATGTGTAGCTCCTGAACTAAGTTTTCAATCATCTTTCGCCTTTCCACCTCCTGTGGCTTCTACCCCCAGCTCGGGTGCCCAGAGATCAGCATTAAACACTTTGCGGAGTCCCCCAAACATGAAAGGCGATATAAATTGAATTGAGTTGTAAATTCAGAACGCAATTTAATATTTATAGTTTCAGTATTTTTATGATTTATAAATCTCTGAAGATTTTTAATTTAATCGCTTCTATTTCAGCTTTCACTAAGTTTTGCAAACTTAGGCATATTTTATACAGTTCCTTTAAGAAGATCATTTATGACTTACGATCAGAGAACAGGGACCAAATCCTTGGATGTCACCTAGTCAAAGATGCCGTATCATTTTTTTTTCTATGATTTAGCCATTTCATTATACAATTTAGAATATCCAAAACAAAACCCTCACTATAGTACTTCCTTTAAATACAAACAGGTATACTGGAGTGATATTAAAATTATATACTCATGATGAGTTTCAGATTCCACAGACATGATTGGACAAAAAACATTCTATGCTAAAATATCTGTTTCTATGGTTGTTTAGTAAAGCCACACTTACAGATTTATGAATCTCACTTCTGATCCAAATGTAACTCATCATGATTCTGAGTGCCAGTTGCCTGATATAACTTGAACCCAAACTAAATTGAACGCTTAACGATTCTAGCTATTAATCTTAAATAATCTTAAATAATATAAATCATGAACAATAAAGACTTGCTTAAAGACACAGACAAATATTAAATGTTTTCCTGTCATGTTATGCTTCCCTCTCATTTACCTGGGTGTAGATTTACCTTTTAATGTAACATTTCAGTTTGCAGAAGTTGGCAAGTTGTTGAATTCAATTTTAAATCTGTAGACTATTTTTTAAAAGAAATTTACAGAAAAACCGCTTCAAATTAAGCTCTGTATTTAGGAATACAAACAAATTCTGGGTATTCTGAAATGTCATGTTAAATGGGTAAATCTAAACCCAAGTGGAATTTCTGCTTAATAGTTTATATCTCTAGAAACCTTAACAATTACTGTCTTTCATTCTCACAAATATATTACGAAGTACAACTTTAATTTGTAAATTACGTGCATATTGTCAACTCATGTAATAAAATGATAACACAACAACTTGCACTTATATATCACCTTCCATGCAGGGCAGTGTCTCCAAGCACTTAGAAATTAATTGATTCATACAGAGCTTTATATCTTAAATATTTAATTTAAAATTATGTTTCTTAATTGTTGAGACCAACCTTTCAATATACAAATGATTTTAAATCCAAAAGAAATTAAAGTTCACAGCAATGCTCATATTTGTATGTGCAGCTATGTTTCCATCTGCATTTTGGTGAATCAAATCTAATGTGACAAATATATACGATCTATTTGAAATTGAAATTATAAAGTTCCATAATATCTGCACTGACAACAAGAACAACAGAATTATATTTGTATAGCATGTTTCACATCGGGAGGATGTCCCAAGGGGCTGACTTTGAAAAGAGCTGGCAGGCCAACAAAAACATTTTGAGTTTCCTCTCAAGCCAAGTAATAGATAATTCAATTAACTAATAAAATAGATTTAGAGCTGATGAGTCTCAATGTTGAACGTGAACAAATTTCATAAACAAACACATATGGTAATACTTAATTCTGAAACAAATGAGTATTTCCACTGTTCTTGCCAATTCTATGTATATGTGGAGTCCTGTAGCTCAGTGGTTAGAGCACTCGCTTTGCAAGTGAGAGACCTGAGTTCAATTCCAGGCAGAGGGCGAGACCTTGGGCAAGTTTCCTTACTCCACACAGAGCCTCATAATAATCCCTCCAAAACCAAAAACAATAATAAATTGGTCATTTTCAATCCACGACTGTTTGTGGGACATTGCTGTGCGCAATTAGCTGCCGCGTTCGCCCACAAATATACAGTCAATTCACTTTACAGTATATTCTGTGAAGCGCTTTGGGACGTCCTCCCGACGTGAAAAGCGCTATATCAAATGCAAGGATTATTATTATTATTATATTCATCACGTTCCCAAAAGAAACTAAAATATATCCAACTAACAAGGCTGCATGAAACACAATATCAAAAAATGACACTGCATGATGTTTATGTTTAATGATAACCAAAGCATTTAACTCAGAAAAGAAGCTTTTCCGGGCCAAAGACCTAAACACGAGAGTATGGAGCTCATGCACTTGCTATCCAGTTAAATTGTCTTCCTAGTTTCTTAAGTGGTCGTGCTACACCGGAAGACACATGTATGGCATTTCATCTGTTATATAAAAAGTTCCATAAAATA